TGCTTATTTTCGGGTATTTTACAAAATTTGGTGGTGCTTAATTTCGGGGGGTGCTTAATTTCGGAACTATACGGTAATTTAAAGATCGATAAATGCAATAAGTTAATGCACCTACATCTACAATTTTATAATACCCCTGTTTCCAATATAAATATTGGAGTAATTACCGATTGTAATAAGTTAAAAAGCCAAGTAGAAAAATTAACTAGTGCTATTCGAAATATTAATGGATTTAATCTTGGTGATTTAAAATTAGCGGTTAAGAAAATTGAAGAAGAAAATTTAGAGAATCGAGTATCTGTTACTAAAAGTAAATTGAATGAAGATCATCAATCGTGGTTGGATCTTTTATTGGATACTCAACAAGAAGTTTTACAAAATGAGAGCACTTTTGCCCGAAAACAATTAGAGAAAGTTAAAAATAAATTGTCCAATGTGCTTACCGCTGAAGAAATTCAAGAATTATTAGGTAAAATAGTGGAAATTAATGAATTGGAAGTTCAATTAAATAATCTCAAAATTCAAGAAAATCAATAATAGTAACTTTAGACAAATGAAAATCACAAATAAATTAGTTTTTAAGACGTAACACAGACCATTATTGTAAGTACTGTACCGTATTCCATTAAGTTTTCTTTTTCCATAAATAATTATGAAAAGCTATTTCTTCGTATTTTGAAAGAAATGAACGCACACTTGATATTTTTCGTGAAAGTAACAAATATTGTAGGCACAATATTTCTCTATTAAATCTCTTTTAGAAGTTTAAATACTATTCCTTTATTTATTTATTTGTTTTATGTTTTTTATATTTATTTGTTTTATGTTTTTTATATTTTTTTGTTATATTTGGTAATATTTTCTTACAATTTTTAATAAAATTAAAAATTAAAGAACAATCTTTACATGAATTAACGCGACTAAAAAAAAATTGAATGGGAGATATAGAGTAAAAATAAATAAAAATTATGAACTTGAATAGCTTATTTTAAATACATCAATTAAAAGTGACCTTTATTATCAATTAGAATAAAATGAAATCGGTTGGAAGGTACAATAATATTATGAGCTTAAATAGTTATTTAACTATTTTCATATACTTTTATTTTTAGCAGATTTTAAATACTATTTAAAATTGTTTCTATTCGTTATTAGAAGTACCTATGCTTTCAGCGTAACAAAGTTCAAGATGATATTATTCATCATAATTAGTTTCTTCAGCAGGTATAATTTTTAGTAATGTTTATACCATATTAATAATAAAATACCGAGCTACGCTGTTCATTGGTGTCATCGTATTCGACAGATTTATATTAACAGAATCATTGGTGTCAAAAATTATATTTGATTCTAAGGAATTCAAAAAGTGGATTACTATAAATATAGTTAAATAATAACTAAAAATGACGATTTTTGATTTATTAATAACAATATGAATGTCGCAAAAGAGAAGCTTGTAATTCTTATTAGATGAAGATTACAGGTTTTCCTTTTGCGGCACTCGTATCTAAAATGGACCATTCCCTCGAATCAATGTAATTTTTACAATCGTGAAATTTATTCATTAAAAGGTGTAGTATTACTGTATAACAACACATAATTTAGAATTGGATGTTCTATGCATTGGCGCGTCGGCCCATATTAGGATAAGATTTAGTTTAGTTTTACTACAGTACCATTCATGGTTCAGATCTAAATACAAAAGAAACTCAGTAATTTATATAATATTTTGATTTATTTTTGTTAAAATATGAAATTTATTAGAAATCTATATCTGTTATATTTCAAGATTTTAAATTTAGCACTTCTTGTAACTATCCTGAAACTCATTTATGTATTACAGGTTTAACAGTCAACATACACGTAACCAGTATTGGGCTGGACATGGGCATTGGACCATCCTAGTCAAGTCCAATCCATTGGACCAAAAAGTATTGGACATTGTGCAATATATAAATCATGTGACAAATAACCAATCAAAAATTTTCACAGTCTGTACTGTATCACACCAAGAAAATCGTTATCATGTAATTAAAGTAAAGTTTATTAAGGTTAAGGTTGGCATTTATATTAGGGCTAGAAATTAGTGAAATATATAGTAAAATCGCCCAAGGGAAACTTTTTGTTAATATTTTTATCAAAAAATTTTTTTATATTTTTTAAAATTATTGGACATATTGGACTGGACATATGTCCAAGTACTATGTCCAATGTCCAGTTCAGTCCAATAGCATAAAAAATAGTTAGACACATGTCCCTCTCGTGATTTTTGTCCAATTAAATTTCAAGAAAACAATCGAAGCGAACACATTTTTTTTTTTACAAAGAAACAGAAATAATTCGAAATTTTATTAAGAAATCACCTTCTAATTAAAAATGCTCTTTGTGAAATAAATTCCATTGTAACCTAACCATAACCCAAACTACAACGCTGTTTTATTCTCGGTAAAAATTACAGGGAGGGAACAATTTTTGTGGGTGCGCTACCTAAGATGTAAGAACGTAACTATCCACAAGATGAATTATATTCGTTGATAACATATTTGAATTACAATATCTCATTTAAATCTTAGTTCCTTTTTCTATTCGCCATTTGACCTCCGTTACAATTAGCAGTTAGTAATGACCTCCAAAGTACGTGCGTACGTGTGTTGTCATATGTGACGTTACAAGGATTTACAATAGATTACATTCAAATTCCTACGAATTAAAATATCGTGGAGAAACTTCCAAATTTTCAATAACATAAGGTTCTGAATAAAAGACCAATCTTACAGATTATCTGAAGTGCTTCTCCCCTATACGTATTTAAGTTCACAGAATTTGAACCATAGTTAAATTTAGAGGCCTATGTAGGATTGATTTCGCGATCCATGTACATATGTGCGGGTTTGCGGATCTTTATTATAATCACGTTGTTAAAATCTATAGACCCTAATTTAGGAACAATGACTGCGATGTGGCAATATGTTTATGTAGAAATATAGATCGTTAATGTAAAGGTTTTCTATTAACGCTTGTTTCTAGTTTATTGCTTAAGTACATATTGCGTAGAGAAAGTGTAAAACACCCCACGTTCGTCATTCACACATATTGATACGTTATATAAGTTAGTATGAAAATGAATGATTATTTATGGTTATATCAGATCTATACATGATAAATTTATATAACCGATCTTCTATTTTACAGAATAATTTTTTGTACCGTTATAATAAAGACTCTTTAATTTATACACTATGGTAAATGCAAATGAATGGTTAAATGAAAAAATTCCAAAGGACCAAAGAGCACAGGCAGCTCAACTTCATATCTACAAAAATTGTCAAAACGGTCATACTACGTATTCTAATGGTTGTAATTATTGCAATAATAGAAACAAAAATCCTCATTCAGGCCCCCCAAATTATCAATTCTACAATACTACTTTGGAAGGAGAGTTAGATCTTAATGACTTTGTTAATTTGCAGTACCTATATCTCCACGGTACTGGACAGGGTCAGAAACAGCAACAAATGATAACTAATTTAAAGATCGATAAATGCAATAAGTTAATTTATCTACAAATTTGGAATACTCCTGCTTCCAATATAAAGGTTGGAGAATATAAACAACTAATTGCCGATTGTAATAGGTTAAAAAGTCAAGTTGAAGAGTTAACTAGTGTTATTCGAAATATTAAAGGTTCTAATGTTGGTGATTTAAAATTAGCAGCTAAAAAAGTTGAAGAAAAAAATTTAGAGAATCAAGTATCTGTTACTAAAAGTAAATTGAATGAAGATTATCAATTGTGGGTGGATCTTTTACTAGATACTCAACAAGAAGTTTTACAAAATGACAACGCTTTTGCTCGAAAACAATTAGAGAAAGTTAAAAAGAGATTATCAAGTGTGCTTACCGCTGAGGAAATTCAAGAATTATTAGGTAAAATAGTGGAAATTAATGAATTGGAAATTCAACTAAATAATATCAAAATTCAAACCGGTGTGTTTTAGAGAAAAAAGGACTATCAGTAAGAAAATCAATAATAGTAGCTTTAGGCTAAATTAAAATCACAAAAAAATAGCTTTTAAGACATAAAACGGATCATTATTGTAAGTACTGTACCGGGATTCCATTAAGTTTTCTTTTTCCATAAAAAGCTATTTTATGATTTTCATATTTTGAAAGAAATGAGCGCACACTTGATATTTTTCGTGAAAGTAACAAATTTTGGAGCATGAATCCGAACATTATGCTTCTCTATTAAAGTGTCTCCTTTTTCGAAAGTTTACATACTGTATTTATTTGGTTATCAACTTATTCTTTTATTTATTTAGTTAACGTATTTGCGCGTAATAGCGGGCCGAGGCGTTATTTTGAGCCATGGCCCGAATTAAGCCGAAATTCGAAATTACACCCCTTTCTATTCTTTATATTTCGTTATTTTCGGTAACATTTACATACCAATTTTTTAAAATTAAAAATTAAGAATAATCTTTACAAAAAACTCAACCACTTGCATATGAATATCAACAACATATTATTGTAAACCTTTATCGGTCATACAGTATTAATGATTTGTATATCCGATGTTGTATAAGAAGCTGACTTGTATTTAATTTTTGAATGTATTATCGCATCAATTGAAACAAGAAAATTATCTTTTACCATTTTCCAAACAAAGGCTACTCGAAAAAATTTGATCAGAATCAGGGATCTTACTGCCACTAGGATTCCTGAAGTTATTTTAGATGTCTTTATTTAATATGATCCTTTCTTACCTTTTAGTTACATGAAGTCAATGAGTCTTTATACACCATGGATCGCAATGGAGCTTTGCTATTATTATTGGAATCACCAAGCAATACGACTAATTAAAGTATCTGGATATTCTATTACTAACGATGAGTAATTCATACTCAATTATACTACTGTAGCCATAGTTCCCACCATTTGAACCACAGAGACGCCTTACTATTGCATTTTAACATTAACACTAGTTGCCGCACCAAAATTTCACGATTTTGATCGACTAAGAGCGACGATCAAAAAATTAGGCCGTAATTACACAGAATTTTACAAATGTTCCTGGCCACTTTTACAATTATGCGGGTTTATTTTCCAAAAATTTCCTTTTTTGTAATGAAAAAATTAAAAGTTAATTTCGACCGAAAATTAGTAAACAATTTCGTAATGCGGCCCCAAAAAAATTGCAGATCACGGCCGTTAGTCAATTAAAGTCGAGAATATGCTATGGTTAATCTCGCTTCGCCTTGAGTCAAACCTGAATTGGCATTTATTAAATGCCTTTTCTCATGTCAATCAATTCGTAATGCATCGTTTAAATGATCTAAATCTCATTTAAATGTGTTTTTTATCCCTTAAACCGTTTTTGGCACAAATTTGGGTCGAATTTTTTTAAAAAGGTTTTTTTAAAATAATATTTTAAATATTAATTTTAGCTATATACTTTTTAAGTAAACAATATACTTTGAGATATATTTTAATAATTTTGTTAAAAAAATTTTTAATTTTATCAAAAAGTTTAAGAATAATAAAGAATTAAAGTTTTATTTTGAATTTT